GTATAGGTCAAAATATTATGTCATTGAGACTCAGTTTTGCCGCAATTTACCAAATAAAAAAAACTAAAAATTTGTTAACACCCCCCCCTTAACATCTAGTGTTTTTGAACATGTCTCAGATTCGATTTAAATAGATAGATTTTGACGCGCTGATTACGAATTTACCAACCACATTGGGCTATCTCCTTTAGTTTCGCCGTAATCGACGTTTAAAAATTCAAAATTGGAACGCAAATTTTGGCGCACCTGTGAAAAGCCTCGGTGGGAATTTTATTACACCCGTCTAAACTCAGTTATATTTTACAAAAGCCCTCGGAGTAATAAAATTTTTCTCAACTCAATTGTAATATACTATTACTAAAAACTTAGTAGTAAAGTATTGAAAACACTGAGTTGCAGACAAGTCTCTGGAAGTTAACGAGTAATATAAAGCTATTCTCAGTATAAGCTGTGGATATTTTTTCTAATAATTTACTTTTCTAACTTAACAAACAAAATTTGTGGTTTGCATAATATTAATATAGAGGCTATTTTTTAACGAATTACCCTGAATATCTCATAAAATAAATGAAAATTAGAAAATCCCGAGATTTTAGTGTGAAAGTTGTAGCATAAACCCCTTTTGTAATACAAACAACCACTTCAAAATTTTAAATAGCACTACCCCCTTTGTGATACCTCAAATAAAAGATATTTTGACCAGAAATTTGGATGTGTGTTTTGTTTTAATTTTTTTATTTATGGTAGGCAAAACAAGATCTAGCAGAACAAATTACTCTAAAAGTGTAAGAATAGCTACGAAACGTCGTCTGCGTTGATTGACATCAGTAATTAAATGCGAAAAAAATAGAAATTGACTTGTCTCAAAATTTTATAATTTTATTTTCTGAATTATCTAGAGTGGCTGGTTTTATAAAAATCTTCCCCTATGGGTATACGACTGTACGATCAAAAAACTTGATATAAATAATAAATTTTGAACATTTTTAAAAACCTGTAAAAACGTTAAAACAAAAAACACTTATTGCAAGAAACAGACGTCTGGAGTTACGTTGGTTTTCAACAGCAAAAAAGACATTTTAATAATTTCAAGCGATACATATTCATTTTATGTTAAATAACTACGCTACGTGTACGCAAGATTTCACTTTTTTCCTTCTACTTTCAATAATAATGATAGTTTTAACGTAAAAATGGTGGATGCGCAGAATTTTAAATAATTAAATAATAATTTTATTAAAATTGATTGTGATTACAAAATTTTAAACTATTGCAGTCAAATGTTTCTTACAATACCGCAAATTGCTGGTTTTATCTAATGAAAAAATGTCACTTTTTTAATAACTTTGACTAATAAAACTGGTGGAGGCGCCGGGTCAAAAATATATATTTTTTGTTTACAACTTGCATTCAGCTGACTTAAATCATCATTTTATATACAAAAAAATTAATGCACTTTAAAATGTTGTTCTCTACATTTTTTTATTTTTAAATAAAACTTAAAATAGCTGGACTTTTGACATTTTCAGGCTGCAGTTACAACTATAAATAAATAACAATCAATATTATACAAAACAATTTTAAGAAATAACAAAAAATATAAAAAATAAAATAATACTGCCCAACAGTTTTTTTTCTTTTTAAAAAAAAATTAAGATGTACTTACTACATCTTTTTCATTTTTTAGGTTTAATTTTTATTGGAACAATTTTGAGAGAATCACACGTAAAGTTCTGAAAGTTGCCTTTTTTGGTTGTATTCGAATATTTTTATTCGCTCTTTTCTGTTCCAGAATAAAATCAAACGTATCCCTATTAATTGTTCAATTAAAATACAAATTTGAACCCATTTGTTTCTATAGGTAGATCTTACGTTTTCGTGTTATTACAAGACAACAGAGAAAAGTACTTAATAAAACAAATACAAATTATATTACATAAAACACAAAATCAAATTAAAAACTTTTTTCTTAAAAAATTGTTTCCAAATTCAAAGATCAAATACCAATTATTTTCTCAAATGGCACGTAAATCACCAATTTTAAACTTTCTGTAATAAATTACTTTTTCGAACAAGTATTGAGAAAGGTATATCGAAAAGTTTTAGAATTAATTTTCCACTGATTGGTACCTGGCGCCGAGGCTGTAGAAGGTCCGCAGCACCGCCAAAGAGTTTCCCAAAGCGTGTCCGCCCTCAACTCCTATCAGAGACGCAATCCGGCCCTTGCGATGGACCTCCAGCAGCTCTTTAGAGCTGCACACCAGACTAAAGTGCTGCGAATTGATGTCGACCAGCCGCTTGACGACGTCGATTTGTTCCAATGTTATTTGCACGGCATCGAGATGCTGTGCTTTGCAAGGCACGTAAGCAGACCAGAACTGGGCCCCCAGGAGGCCTCGCTTCAGCCGCGGGATGTCCGTCTGCGACCAGCGGCTTTTGGACCACGGTTCTTGTTGCTCGATGGCACTGAGATTGAGAGTGGATAGTTTGTTGTGGACGAACTTGCGCAAGTTCCAGGGCAGGTCATTGTGGCCGTCGATTAAGGGAACGCTCTTTAATAAACGATGGACTACTTCTAGACGTTCTTCTAATGTTTGGGGTTTCATTTCAGGAGTTAAGGCAAAAGGAAGGCTCAATCCAGCCGCTACCGTCGCGACTATTACGCACACCACGAGGCAGATGCACCAAGGACCACATACCGAACTTCGGGACGAATCACTGTCGGTGCTACATGAGCACGATTCTAAAGATGCGCTGTATTCGTAGTCGTAGTAGAAATTATTTTGAACATAATTAGGCACTGCACTAAATGAAGTTTCTTGATGGACTGGCAGTTGGCGTGGGCATGGGGGAATCTGAAATTTAGAGAAAATCTTAACATTTCAACTCATTTTTTCCGAAAAATTACAAATGATTCATTTCAAAAACCAAAATAATAATTCAAAAAGTTTACAAGACAAAAATAAGTAAAAATATTGGTGTGGGCATGGGGGAATCTGAAATTTAGAGAAAATCTTAACATTTCAACTCATTTTTT